CTAACAGAGAGAGACAGTTTGGAAATCTCACTTGTTGCCACTGGCTCAGTATCGATGAACAGTAAGGCTATGAAGTTTTACAAATGCCTAGGCTTACTCGTGAGAGAGGAAGCCTGTAGGTAACGCTGTTCTAAGAGCGCACTGCACCTGAAGGAGGATTAGATTTTATTGTCTGTGTTGCTGTCTTGACAGCTTTTCTTTGGAGCCTCCCATAGAAGAGAGAGTAGGACTTAACGGCTGGTGCCAGAAAGCACAAGCTAATGTGAAAAGAATCCAAGTCTCTGTCTAATCTGTGGGAATCCACAATGGTTCATGGACAAGGAATAAAGTAGTTAAGGCAATGTCAGGGTTATACAGATGAACATATTTCTACCCATGAAATTTTGGTTTGAGGAAAAATGTGGGAGAGTTATTAGAATTCTTAGAGGTTGAGCTTGGGAAAAACTGCTAGAAATTGTAAGGAGAGATTGCTTTCTTTTCTTTTTCTTTCCTAAGACTTATAAAAAACATAAAACGCCAGGTTCCAAGTCTGTGTGGCCACACCTCCCTGGCATCATCTTCTTTTACACACCTTACCCTGGGTGTTGTAACTAGTTCTTGTTGTTGTTATGTGCTGTGGTCAATGCCAACTCACGGTGACACCATGAGACAGAGTAGAACTTCCCTGTAGGGTTTTCTTGGCTTTAAACTTTATGGCAGCAGATCACCAGGTCTTTCTCCCACTGAGGGGCTGGGTGGGTTTGAACCCCCAACCTTTTGGTTAGCAGCCAAATGCGTAACCATTGTGCCACCAGGGCTCCTTGTCTAACTAGTTCTAGTTCTAACTCCTGTTGTTAGCACCCTGCTAAAATATGTATCTCCAAGGCCTCCTCCCTATAGTGGATTCTCAGATCTAGAATCACTGTTGGATCATATAAGTCTGTCAGCATACCTAATAATACAGTAATGATTGTCACCTCTGCAGTCTTCATCAATCTACTTTAAAGGAGGATGCATTTTTAAGTTAAAAATATATATATTCAATTGTGTTGGATTTTTAACTTTTTTCCTTCAAACTAAAACCAAGAGAGTATTTTAAAGATGGGGGGGGCGGGGGGGAGGTGCAAATAAGTCAACCAACCTGCCTGACCTGCCTTTTTTTTTTTTAAGGACCCAGTGACATGATCTATTTGTAATAAATGACTGAGCATTATACCGTTTGGGAAATTCTGGTTCTCTGTTTCTTTAATTGTGACTACTTTCTTCAGAATGTGTAGGCAGTGCCATTCTAGCCAAAAAAACCCGATCAAATTCCTTTCCTTCCCATCTTATTTGTATTCTTTGTGAAAAGCCCGAGCAGTTGTTTTAAACGAGTCTGGCCACTTGTTAAAGTTTAAACCAGTAGTGCGGTCCATCTAGAGTGGAGAGTTTTTGACACTCTCTGCTGCTCCTGGCCTAGGGTACTAAGAGTGCTAGACCCCAGAAGCAGCCAATTTTGTAGTGCCTTTTAATATACAAAATTGTATTAACATCAACATGGATACAGATGGATGCACTGCAATAAACTATAACCACTTGAGAAAAGCCTTTATTGACTCTCAAGTAAGTAATGCACATTTTAAAGGATCTAAATATGCATTTACATAATGTGCTATAATTTTTTATTGTGTCAACTACTCACACACACACATCCATAAGAGATGTTCTTCTCCGTCAAAAATTTGGACTTATACCATTCTTTGTGCATTCTGTTAGCATCACGCCAGATTCATAATGGCCGTTTCTCTTCTATAGAGCCTAATCTGATGATCTCAAAGTACATTTAATGAATTTTACTGATTTATACCCAATGACACTTTCTAAAACAATTTGAGACAACTTAGGCAAAAACCTGGCAATACTAAAAACATCTAACCCAAGACAAAGGAGAGAAGAATTTAGACATGGCTGAAATCTTAACTCTGACCTTCCAGAGCAAAGGAAGAAAGAAACCTGATGGATCTTGTAGACCAGTAGAAGAGGAATAGCACGTTATCCAGAGAAATAGTATATATTTAATAATATTTAACAGATCTTTGTGAGGTCTGTAGCACAGCTAGTTTCTGTTTAATTTTAAAGCACAGCATCTTGAATGACTTGTGTCTAGTTCCACAGTGAACTGATGACTGAACCAAAAAGTTCTAGGCATTAGAAAGTAGGGGCTGTGAAAGATGACCCTTCAAAACGCAGACACAGCAAATGTCTAAGTTTAAACTACAGGCTAAATGATTTCCTGGTATTAATTAAGAATTAATTGATCTTCACAAATCAGTCATTGTAGAATTAATTCAGTATAGTGGCCATGTGGTTCTTTGGTTTGTGTTAAATTGTATGCCACAAGGAAAAGGCAAATAAATTGTTTTAGTAAACTGTGATAAAGAAACAAAGATCTAAATTTATGTTGTTGATGATTTTCTTTTACATAGTGAATCCCCCAAAAAAGAAAAAAGAAGGCAGGAATGTTTAATATCAACGAAGAGGGTGATTCATTGGTCCTGTTGAAATATTTCCTCTATCGTTTTTCTTTAGCGTTAGTTTCTTTTATCTGTCCAGTTTTTACTCAAGTGATGTGTTCCTCCCTTGGACAACATGGAGCCCTGGTGGTGCAGTAAAGAGGTCAGTCTGCGAACCAAAAGGTTGGCAGTTTGAATCCACCAGTCGTTCCCTGCAAACCCTATGGGGCAGTTCTACTCTGTCCTGTAGAGTTGATATGAGTCAGAATTGACTTGAGGGCAACAGGTTTGGTGGTTTGGTTTGGCAACATACTCTGTTGGTCACCAGCATTTCATAATCTAAGGGTTACTCATCGCTTTTCATTGAGCACCTGAGGCAATGCCACTTCATCATCAAGGTCTGCTTCCTTGGGGCTCCTGATGGTGGAGTTGCCACGATAGTGTTCGACATGCTGGAAAAGTTGAGTGTATCATTTTGTTTTGCTCAGTACATTCCCAACCTAGTTTCAGAAATACCACATTCTAGCTCTAACTAGAAAATATTCTGTCAAATGCAGGGTACGGGGTCAAAGTTTCTTCCTGCCAGTGAGGAGCACCATACCATATTAGATGAAGAAATTCTTTTTCTTTTTTAAGCCAACAACACAATTCCCAGAGTAAGAGATGACCAGAGCCATTTAAGTTTTTAGCTTTTTGGAGACAATAATGGATTCCAAAATCACTGTTCCTTGTATGAAATCTTAAGTTCTTCCAGCTTTCCTACAAGCGCCCTGGTTCTTTGCCAGATAGAGAAACAGAAGTTGTAATTCTGTATTTATTTGTATGGTTATTTTATTAATTTCTATAACACTCATTTATTTAGTCATTTGTCATTAATTCAACAATTAGTTACTTAGTATTTGACACTGTTCTGGGGATATGACAGTGAACAATTAAGTGGTAGAAAAAGCCATTTACCTATTGAGATAGGGAAGACTGAGAGAAGAGCAGGTTTGAAAGAGAAAGGTGACAATTCTGGTTTGGATAAATTAAGTTCGAGATGCCTCAGTTAATTGTATGATTGAGGGCAAAACTTTGTGTGTTTTTTTTTTTTTTTTGGACCCAGTGTTGTGTCCGGAGCCCATAGTAGGAGCTCATGAGTATTTATTGGATAGATTAAAGGTTGAATGAATGGATGGATTTCAGAGGTTGTAAAACATAGGTTAAACTATTGCTTTTACTCCAAACCCCCCATTTCTACACTTTAACAATTACAGATACTTCTCTGAGCCACACCATCCTAGCCATTTCAATTATTAGTTTAAAAAAAAAAAGACCAATCCTATGGAGATTTCAGTAGGGAACAAAGAAACCATGGCCAGTGATCAGCGGGAATGTATTCTTTTTTACAGTCCTTACCCATAAAGCAGAGCCTGTCTTGCTCAAGTTTCTCTTTAGCATTAAGAATCACTCTTGGTATCTTATTCTCCCAAAATTTGGGCATCCCTGTGTGTTTTCTTTCTAGGGGCTCCTTTAGTATAAGGAATTAAACTGCAAAAAATAAGGAAAGAGGAATACTCTTATCTGCTTTTATTTGGGGGACATTTCTCTGGCCCTTAGTGAGAAGTCAGAGCTGCTATCTGGGTATTACTTGGTTTAAGTATCTCCAACTCTCGCTATATGCTTATCTTATCCTGCAGCCAGTTTTATCAATCACCCTTCCAATTCAAGGGCAAAAACCCTCTCAGAAAAATTATTAAGTACCTCACGTAAGTTTTTTAATCTAATGTAATCTTCCTCTTGTACAAATGAAATTTAGCATGATTCAAATGTAAGGGAGTGACAGTTGTCTGAGCCTTCTATCAGTTTTTATGGGCCGAGGGCCAGCATTTTAGCAGGGGTCACTGCCTGCTCAGCCTGTGAGTTCCCCCACTCTAACATTTATGTGTTTCCGAGTTTGGCTTTGAAATGGTAAAAGAGGTGACATAAACCTTCCATGTAAAGTGAGGCCCCCAAATTGCACAGGTTCATTAAGTGATCATTTACTACATACTTCAAAAAAATTTCATCCTGAATTAGTCCCTGGAAATTTCCTTGAAAGGGGTATAAGAGCTTTAACAATGAATTATTGTCTATGGATAGCTCAGCATGAAAAAGGATCCGTATGTGCAAACTAGAATTTGTCATATGTAATGTCAGTTAAATCAGGTCTAATCTACCAAATACATTTTTTATTGCTTGCTTCATTAAAAAGGCTCTTAAGGTAATGAATAATCTTCAGCTTCACCAAGGATTATTAATGCCTTTATAACTCACGTCCACTGAAAATAGAAAGACAGCTTGAAACTCTACCCTCATCTAACCTCCGTGTTTGTCTTAGCACCTTAAGGAAGAAAATCTATCAGAGCTATCCAGTGTTAAACTCAGTCACATGAGCAATACTCTGAACTGAGTCAGGAGAAGAAATAAAGAAGGGAGTTGAATCAGGCTTAGAAGCTATGGCAAAGCAAGTCTTTGTCTTCATAACTCTGATGTTTTCTTCTCCTACAGCCAGTCCACATGCAACACCATCGACTCTTCATTTTCCGACATCACCCATTATCCAGCAGCCTGGGCCTTACTTCTCACACCCAGCCATCCGCTATCACCCTCAGGAGACGCTGAAAGAGTTTGTCCAACTTGTCTGCCCTGATGCTGGTCAGCAGGCTGGACAGGTGGGGTTCCTCAATGTAAGGAAACCTCTTTTTTTCCATTTCTTTAGAAACATTAAGCGAATGTAGAAATAACAAGGAGAGACCTTATGACCATGTGACATTGTGCTCTAATGTTGTGCTGACTGACTGCAGGCAAATGTCATATTTATTCTAGATTGTGGGAAAGTTAACTTGCTCTAAGCGTGATTGGCCAGGGTTTGAAAACAGTGTTTGTGCTAAGTTTGCAACTGTCAAGTTTATGAATATAAATCATCGCAAGGGTGGACTATATAACCTTCAAAGGTCTGTAGGCTGATAATTCCACCTCATGCATTCTAACCCCGGGGCTCATGCAGTTAACAAAGTAGAAAGACCAAATGATTTAAAATAATAATTTGGGTTGGTAGAGAGAGGTAGGGGGACTAGGGAGACAGATGTTTCAGATCAACTGAGTTGATATTTTTTAAAAAATACAGTCTTCTAACACTTTAGATCAAGTTGACCAGTACTTGAACTCAAGATGCTAGAAGTACAGTTTATTATGATTTGTTATTTCTGCAAGTAGTTATCTTTTCCACTTATCTTTGTATAAAGTTAAAACAGTATTCGATAGCTTCAAATGAATGTGTTCATTTTTTTCTCATGTAAACCACGTAATCACAATTTGAAATAACTTTCCAAATGTAAAAGGGATTTGAAATTTTATTTCAAATGTAGAACTCAATGTTGACAATGGATAGCTGGGTCCCAAGATGATGACGACTACTACTATTGATAATCATCATCATCATGACTGGCATAAAGCCAAATTTGGTTTTTCTTTTCTCCTAATTACTGCTAATGAAGCCACAGATTAGCCATAATTATTATTGCCTTATTTAGAATATTATGTCACACTGTTCTACCACTGGGTTTCTTCCCTTGCAGAAATACCTGATTCTGCATATCTGAGCCAGAACAGGCAGCTTGGACTAATGTCTGGTGATAAGTTAGCAGATACATTTCTGTCTAGACAACAAATCAATATGGTGCCTTTCTTCTTTTTGCTTGTGTATTCATTTGCTTGGCTCATTCTAAAGCGCTCACTTACGGACTTTTAGCCCACTCAGAAATAACACACCGGCAAGCTTGCTGGCAAGAAAGCACAGCATTCTCATTGTCAGACGAGATAGTCTTTGAGGAACAATCTAAATATATAAGTGAATGTTGATGGGGGAGTGAGACTGTCTCGGTAGAATTATGAAACTTAAACATAAAAGCCTGGGACAACAGGATCTCCTTCAACTGCATTTTGATTTGGGATTACAGCCTACTATCGTCGGTCAAATAGTGTTGCTGAAGTCTGGAAATACAGTTAGAAAGGCCACTTGGGAAACAATGGGGAAAAAAAAAACTCAGGTGATCACCAGCTTCAAGCATCTGATTTATAATTTCTTCCTTTTTTTTATTTTTTAATAGTTCTGACATCATCCTACATAATTGCCAAATGCCCAGTTTTGCATTTTGATCAAATTTTATAGGGCTTCATTTAAGGCAGGTCTCTTCATGGGACTATTTTGAAAAACTTAAAAAGGAAATGGATTTTATTGCTATCTTCAGAGGGAAACTTTCTTTGTTAAAGAGCTGTCATTTGGTTGTTCTAACATCAGGCAGCCAAATAAATATGACTCTTATGGCATATGCTTATATAATTTAAATCAAAATTAGAAGTGATATTTTCTCCCTTGCAGAATTCTAACATCAGCTGAATTCTAATGTTTCTGTGCCTGATGTTATACAATATGTGAAAGAAAATTTTTTTATGTTCACTTAACACATTTATTAAATGTTATATAATATCGACTTTGAAGGGTGAAAATAAAATATTATTTTTCTATCTCAAATGCAGGTTTAGGAAACTTAATTATATCTATGTTAATAGACATTGTAGCGTGTTGCCACAGTCTATAAAATGCTTACATATTAAATAAATATTAAATAATCGTGAGATGATGATAAGGGTAACAGTTAATGCAGACTTGAAACAGTCTAAGCAAAATTAGTTTACCCTGATGGCAAATCCAGAGTGACCACTCGGAACCAGGTGCAAAAAAGGACAGTATAATAGTTCAAGAGATACGTTTAGGAAGCACTGAGCGTGTGAGCTTAAGAGTGAATTTTGTGGAATGCCTTAAGAACAGAACCCAATAATTCTTCTTCTGTATAGCCTTATGGAAACATTTAACCAGTTAGAATCTTTAATAATTTACATAAAGGCACCTAATGAACCATTTGTTATCAGAAGCTGCTAACGGTTGATGTCTGTTTTTTCTTTTTCTCGTGTGTGTTTGTTTTTTTTCCCATCCTCACAGCCCAATGGGAGCAGCCAAGGCAAGGTGCACAACCCATTCCTTCCCACCCCAATGTTGCCACCGCCACCGCCACCACCGATGGCCAGGCCTGTGCCTCTGCCGGTGCCAGACACAAAGCCTCCAACCACGTCAGCAGAAGGAGGTGCAGCCTCCCCGACCTCACCAAGTAAGTATGACTGAGACGAGGCGCCGGTCACTTATAAAGCTCTACTCACTTGAGTCTGCACCTTAGCTTTGTCTGGTACCATATAGGCTCTAGCTGAAGGCACAGCTCCCCAGTGACAGTTGTAGCAGAACTGACACCAGAATCAAAGTGAACACCACTCTTGGGTACGATCAACTACACTAGATGTTAAATGACTGGTGTTTGGGTGGATAAGATGGAAACTACATGCCCATGACTGGAATCAAGCTGTGAACTATCAAATATGACATATTGTTTGAGTGATTAAGAATACCGTCTTCATGATCATCAAACAAAATCTGTTGCATGGATTCTTGTTAGCAGAAAGTTACTCATACTTCTGTAGAGTCCTGCCTTCCAGGAACTTAAAGTCCAAGAGGAATGCACTTAATGAGATATGCAGGTTCTACAACTCATACATCAAATAGGAAAAAATGTTTAGATCGAAATACCAATTCAAAGGTATGTACGTTGAACACTTGCCAGGAGTAAGAGTTGGGCAGAAGATCAGAGCAGGTAGCTATGGCAGTTGTGTGGCTAGGCTGGACAAGGTGGGGAGATAGAGGGTAGAATTGAATGGAAAGAGAAAACAATTCTTGGCTCTTTTCTGAGTAGTCTGGGAACACTTGATCAGAGAAGACAGAACTTCAAAACATTTTTAGATAGTTGGAGTGATTACTTGGTGAACTTGAGAGAAAACAATTCTCCAGGTACTTCCTGATATTTTAGAGATGGCAAAGAGATAGAAGAAATAGCTTGAACACACAACCATTGCTTTTATTAGTGCCTGGAACAGTGACAAAAAGAGTGATGACTAGAGGCAGAGTTCCTAGGTGATGGATGGACTGCCTACCCTTGATAGATGGTATGATGAAAACCTTCCCTAAAGCTCTAGAGAGGGATCAAGGTGTAAGAAAGGCAAACAGCTATGGCAGGGACCCTAAGAAGAGGCTTCAAGGCAGTCTTCAAAGGAAGTGAGACTGGAGGCAAGGAATCTACTGAGGAAAAGATGAGAGTAGACCAGAAAAGAAGTGTTAAGATGGAGAATTTGAGCAGCAATTGTAGGAGTTGAAGAGTGTGTGTGTGTGGTGGGGCAGGGAACTTTATAGACATAACATTGGGCTGAGACAGACATTTAGATAAGTATAGTGAGAGAAGGTTCTGGACCTCTAAGATTCTTTACTTCGAGTGTTGGACAGAAAGGGCCAATGAGGAAAGATGAGTCACTCTATTTCCACTATGTTCATGAGCTCTCACTCTGGGAACGCTAAATCCAAAATGTCCAGAGTACCTCATGGACACATATCTGAGGGTGAGCTTTGGGTTACCTAGTATTTTTGCATTTTGATAATACATGCAAATATGAGTGACATTGTGTATAGATTCCATATTGATAGGAAAAGATTGAGAGTCCAGGAGCAGTTACAGGAGGACCTGATTCTCTTGGTAAGAAGTGGTTCAACACTTGCCAACAAAGGAGAAAACCCTTGAGTATCCAGCGACATAGGAAACAAGCTAGACTTGGTCGGTGGATCTTGGGAGCTCTGAGAAGCAGATACTCGTAAAAGTGTCCTGCTTACTGTGTTTTTTATGTAATATCTTTGAATAAGAGAAATAACTGGTTCCAAGCTCTACTTAAGTCTCTTCACTGGGGATATTGGCTTACAGACTGGCAGATACATGCTAATTGTGCCCTGCACATGCCTCTGCATCCCACTTTTCTGTTCCTGTTCTTTCTATACAGACATTGCCATAGTTAAAAGCCTTGTAGTAATACGCAGTCTGTTTTATGTAAACATATTCTCATTTCCACTGTCTGTGTCTCCCACATTCTTAATGAATTTTCCAGTAATGAGGAAGGAACTCTACTGAGGCACTGTGGACGATTGGGAAAAGCATGTGTGGCTATTGAAGTCTAAATCCCCACCTTTTAGGTTTCTAGCTGTGTTTCTCTTCGTATCACAGTTTCCTCATCTGTAAAAGGCAAGTGATAATGCCCACCTAGCAGGTTGTAGGAACTCAGCTGTGATAAGCACCCTACCAAATACATTGGAGCATTTTATTATCTACCAAAATTCATACCTAGTGGAAGTCCCCAGGCGTGAGTAATGATGAAATGTGTCTGTGGGGCATGCAGAAGTTACTCAACCCCTAAAGGAGAATGAAGAACACCAAAGTCACAAGGAAAATATTAGCCCAAGAGACAGAATGGGCCACATAAACCAGAGACTTCATCAGCCTGAGACCAGAAGAACTAGATGGTGCCTGGTTGCCACCCATGACTACCCTGACAGGGAACACAACAGAGAGTCCCTGATGGAGCATGAGAAAAGTGGGGTGCAAAACTGAAATTCTAGTAAAAAGATCAGACTTAATGGTCTGACTGAGACTGGAGGATCCCCAGAAGGCATGGCCCCCAGACTCTCTGTCAACCCAGAACTAAAACCATTCCTGAGGCCAGCTGTTCAGACAAAGATTAGATTGGACTGTAGGACATAAAATGATACTTGTGAAGAGTGTCCTTCTTAGCTCAAGTAGATACATGAGACTAAACAGGCAGCTTCTGTCCGGGGGTGAGATGAGAAGGCAGAGAGGGTCCGGAGCTGGTTGAATGGACACGGGAAATCAAGGGTGGAAAGGAGGAATGTGCTGTCACAGTATAGGGAGAGCAATTAGGGTCACATAACAAAGTATATATAAATTTTTGTATGAGAGACTAACTTGAATTGTAAACTTTCACTTAAAGTACAACAATTAAAAAAAAGAAAAGATGAAAGAAAAAGGACCATGCAGAAGCATTACTTTCCAGTCCTCAGTTCTTGAAACTCAGTTGAGACATAAATACCTCAGTTGAGGGTCATGGTTTCATGGGACATCCCAGTCAATTGGCCTAACCATGTGCTTCTGCTGTAACTTCCTGGTTCATTGTATAGTGCCTGGGGTCTTTAAAAAGCATGCAAGCAGCCATCCAAGGCACAGTTGATCTCTGTTCGCCTAGAGCAACAGAGGAAGAAGGAGAGTCAGAATAGGAGAAAGAAATGGAATATGAGGTTAACTGCTTCATGAACAACTGCCTCCTTTGCCATAGGACGGAAGAACTGGATGGTGCCCAGCTACCATTACTGAACATTTTGATTAAAGATTCTATAGAAGAATCCTGATCAAAAGAGGAGAAATGCAGAACAGAATTTCAAATTCTCATGGAATCCAGGCTTTCTGGAGCCATGGAGACCGGATGAACCCTTGAAACTATTGCCCTGAGATAATCTTTAAACCTTAAACCAAAAATATCCCCTGAAGTCTTCTTAAAACCAAACAACGGTTTAGCTTAACTAGTAAAGAATGCCTGCCTTGAGCATTATGCACTTTTAAGATCTGTCTATACAGGATCAAATTGACAAGCTCAACTCAAAAGATGACATAGGAAACTTAGGGGGCAGTGAATTAATGTTAGTGGGGGAAGAACAACTCAGAAAAGGAGGGTCAGAATGGTTGCACAACTTGAAGAATGTAGTCAGTGTCACTGAATTGTACATGTAGAAACTGTTGAATTGGTGTATGTTTTGCTGTGTATATTCTTAACAAGAACAAAATAAAATAAATTATTTTTTTAAAAAAAGAAGTTACTCAACCCCCAAATCAAGTTGGTGTCTTTGAGTCCATAGTCTGGGCTCTAATTCATACATTTAAGCAAATGCCTTGTATAAGAAGATACCTATCCTTTCTCGTGCGCCCAGCCTCATTTTGTCAGCATTATGGGGTATTCTTTTGGTTGATACAACTTACATGGTTGCATGTTGATTAGAATAGTGTTTCTCAAGGTTTGGAGAAGGAGGAGAATATCAAGAGAGAGGCCCAACATTTGATACTGGTAATTTAATACTTACTTTTTGAATTGTAGAATTCTAGGAAGGTAGACAAAACAAATTGTTCTACTAGTGGCATGGAAAATTTTTATCATTATACATTTTAGCCCTGGTTGGTGGACTTTTCTGTGATGTGCTGAATTTCACAGAAATATGTTATTTCACAGCCATGTATCACCTTACCATTATCTACTTTATAAATAAGACATTGATAGGGTGGGAGTACTGTGATGTTTGGCATGGAAGAGGTCTTTCAGAAATCTTAAAGCCCACTAGACCTTGTTGCGAGGGTATTTAAGAGCCTCTCCCAGAAAAAAAAAAAAATCAATTTCCATGCCCTGATCTGTGAAACAACTGATAAATAAAATGCAAGAGAAAATCAAATGGGAGACTACAGTATCACCTTTACTAATAGAGAATGTGGCTGTATCCATAGGCAAGTGAATCCCCAAATTACACAGATGCATCTACCAATTACTGGTAGTAAAGGGACCACCACAGGCTTTCCTGGCAAGGCCTGCCCACCTATGTAAAACCAAAGGTGTGGAGGCATGGTTGGCTGTGGGCTTCTCGCCAGCATCTGTCTCCCTAAGAGAAAGAGACGAGGAAGGGAAGGGACTAGTCATATCCCGTTTTTCCTTCCAAACTCTTCAGTCTAAGAGGAGTAAGTGAAAGTGGAGAGAGGCCACGAGTGTATGGTAGGGAACAAATATCAGGAGAGAAGTAGCCTCCCATAATTCAAAGGTGTCAGTTCTTCTTCGGTCTTCCTTATTCGTTGTACAGCTTTCACTTGGGATACAGGATGTTAAATTGTAATCCAGCTCTAAAGAAATGTGCGATTTCTTGAGGGAGACACCTGGTACACAGGCACTTTATAGGGAGCAACAGTGGGACAAAAACATACACAGGTGCTCCAGGAGGACATGCCCAGGCTTGGGACTTCAGGTAAAGATCTTCTGAAGGAGGTGACTTTTAAGCTCTTTATAACATTCTAGTGTTTTAAGTCAGAGAGAGAAGGGAGAACTTTTCTTGAGAAACAAGCTGGGGGGCCTAAAATTGGATTACCCCTGGATAAAAACTTAGGGCAAAACTATAGTTTAATAAATCATGAGCTTT